GAATTTATATTCTATAAAATCTATATATCTGACAAATGCAATGCTCAACTTTTAGTTAATTTAGTTATGGAAAGATTAGAAGGAAACAAAACACTTAAAAATCAAAATTTCCAATTGTGTAACTAATTGAGCACACATTATTTATATTTAACAGTCTGTGAATTTAAACCCTTGTCTATATAAAAAAAAAAATTCAGAACAAACATCTTCTCTTCCTCTCTCCTCCCACCCCTCATCTGGGTAGATTTTATTTATGCAGTAGTAGACCTTTTTGGCCATTAGAACCATCTTGCTTCAGCAGTTAATTAACACAAGTACCATAATTTAATACAGTTAATGCTACTTGATGCCCTTTAATGTACCTTCCATTAGTGATATTATTGTAGTATTACCCTGTAAATTAAAATGAGATCAAGACTGAGAGAGCCACTCTTTAATTAAGGTACTGGCACACTGCACTCGTCTATTATTCACTAGAGAAAATCACCCTGATTTACTGAAGCAGGACATCCATAAGTCAGAATTAGTCCATGAAGATTATTAGGTTTATTGAACATTGCAAGTACTATGAAGTTGCTGAGATTGCCAACAGCCATGTTTCCTCTTTTTCCTCCATTATCTTAATAAATACATAATGAGAGGGAGCAAATGGACACAAAATAAGTAGGTAGCAAAACAGGAATAAATTTTGGATGGGATTATATCTTTTGTCACTATAAAATGGGTATCAGAAGTATCAGGTGTTAAAAAGAACATAAATGCTACATTAGCCTTAAGATATTCAAAATATCCTTTTTGTGCCAAACAATACTAGCTAGTATAAAACATAAAAGCCATACAGAAAAACAAAACAAAACTAAACCAGAACAAATCCTAGAAATCTGATTGCAGAATTGAGGCTACCAGAGGGAGAAGATGAGAGGAAAAAAGATGGATTATTGTGGAGGATTACTGGAGTTTTGGTGGTGGGCATGGTGTAGTAACAAACATTTGAAGAGGTGTGAATCTATACCTCTAAATTATAAACAGTGCTGTAAACCAAAGTCACCTCAATAAGAAAATTCAATAAGAAAAACAAAAGATGTATATACATGCACACAAGAAGTGATTGTGAATTAGAATTCACATACAGTCAATTCGAGTAGATAGACCAGTTGGTTTTGTATTACAGCTCAATATTTCATGGTGGAAAAATCTTGTATTATCCATCCACTATAATACAGACATTTGTTCACTTTCTTCAGTAACTCAAGCCTATTCCTACATTATGCTGGGAATAGGGTTGAGTAAGAAGTAGAAAATACCATTATAATGATCAAATGAATACATGTAACGGCATGTTAAACATTGTAATCATTGCATAGGATGGCAGGGAGAAGGAGCTTGAGGGGGAAAAAAAGACCTCAGTTATATTTTACTATCATATATATTTTATTATCATATATATTATTATCATATATATATATATATATATATATATATGATATTCTGCAAAAGAACCCCTGGAACTTTCATTTAGAGCTCATCAATAAATGTTCAAGCTTCCTATAAATGACTTGTGTAAGAAAAAGACAACCCAGACTGTTAACCCTAGTGAAATTTTCAAGGGTAAAATAATTATATCACCTTCAATGCTTAAAGCCATAGAACCAATGACAACAGCTCAACAGTTCCCTTTAGAGTTTTCCTCTATAACTTGGAAGCTGGAGACATGCTTGAAATCTCAAGCCTTGCTTCTTTAATCCTGTCCCTAAGACTAAAAATAGCTCAACTATCTGGTGCTCAGCAAAGTACAAGCCAACATCAGTTTTGCCCTAAGGAATTTAGTGTTGGGAGATAGGAGTTGACAGAGTGGGGCCTTACAGAAGGGGCTTACCTCTTCTGGACATTTCTCTCTTGCCTGGCTTCTTCCTCACCAGTTGACTGGTGAATAGGAAAAGACAGTGGACAGAAAAGGAAGAGGACAAATTCCTTAGTATCAATGAACTTCAGTAGAAGGAAACTACTAGGTTGAGGGATAAAAGAAAAGGAATAAATCTGTTAAGATGCTACATGTTTAACATGCCATCTTTGAGAGATGGTATGTCTGATCTCCAATGAATAATGCATTAAAAATGCCTGCAGTTTTAACATGTAATTTACACAATTTCAATAATCAAAGGAAATAAAAAATGAGTATCTAAGAATAGCAATAAGTCTAAAGAATGATTATGTTCTAACCAAAAATCTTCACAAGATTACTTTATTTATAAGATAAAAATGACTGTTTGAAGAAGTGGACTTGTAAGGATTTTGGTGTAGAGTAAGGTATTCTCAAACTGAGGAAACTGACCTCAATACACTTCTGTTTAGCAGTGTAGATCATATTAGGATTTAACTTCAAATCTCAGATTATTAATTTTTACATTTTTCTTACAGGGGAGCAGAATTGTTACTTTGTTATGGTATGTTAGTGTTAATAACACCAATGTCATTTCAAACTATAATATAAAGCCATGATGGTTAAAACAGTATGGTATTGGAATAAAAACAGGTACTCAGATCTGCATACATGACAACTAATCTGAGACCAAATAGCAAAGTGCACATGCTAGAACAAGGAAAGGGAGGGTGGAATATTATAGAAGATTTGGTGGTGGAAGAACTAAAGTGGTGACACTTGAGGGGAGAATCTTATATTGTGGAAAAATTTACAAGGATGTAAAATAAGAGTACATAACTACAACACCACCAACACCAACAATAATAATATCAACAATTATTTTTATATACTATATGTCTCCAAGAATAACAGAAAGTGATAATCTTTTGCTAAAATGTTCATGAATCTAAATGGCCACATATCATTATAAATAGCAGACTCGTGTTTAAGGCAACAGCTCCATGTCTCCCTTTTATGGTGCCATGCCCACATATGAACTGTCTTCTCTGCCCTGGCATCCATAAGCTCAATATTGCACCATTGTATATTTCTCTCAGAAATATTATTTTGTTTTATTTGTGTCTCCATCCTACATTACCAAGACCTTGCTTAAAAGATTTTAAGGTATAGGCCTCTCTGGTGGCACCATGGGTTGAGCGCAGTGCTGTGATGCTGTCTGCAGCCTCTGTAGTACGAGTTTGATTCCTGGCCAGCCAGGGAGATACCCACATGGCATGGCAGACCTTTCCTGTCTTGCCCGCTGCTCCCCTCAGCAATGTTTTTGGTCCATCTGCCTGTTCTGCTCCCTGCTCTGTCTGTGGTGAATTCTCTCACCCTCCCACACATCTGGCCCGTACCCCAGTTCTTGTATAAATAAATAAATCTTTAAAAAAAAAAGATTTTAAGCTATAATTTCTTGACTCTTCCATGAGGAACATGAAAGCAGACCAAAGCTGAGAGGAAATAGCAATTGCTGCTATTTTCCATGATTAAGACTCTGAAACTTTTACCATCAAACTGAAGTCATGCCTGCCATGACTTATGTCCACTCTGGCCATTATCTTAACAGCAATGACCTCTTCCTTTTAGTGAACAGATATAATAGCACTATTATTGAAGATAGGTTAAGACATGTCTCTGAAAGACAAAGGAGTCTCAACTTTTCTACAGTTTCTGGGAAATGAACAGCTATAAGAGATGCTGGAAACCTGTTGACATAATGAATCCTGTCTTATCTTTTTAAATTTTATGATTAATTAATTAATCATAAGTCATGGAGATGAGTTATGTGCTATCTCTATTCATACCCTTACATATTTTTTTAAAGACCATCTTGGCATTTTTAGAATGATTATTTCTTTGCTTTGCTTTTCCTTTTTTCCATTTTGCTGTATCCTCTGCTCTACCCATAGTTTTTACCTTATGCTTCAACTCCCATCAGCTGGCTATTTTGATAACACACCACACTTAAAAATCTGGTTGAAAATCTCTATGTTTGTGGTCCTAGTTCTCATTATTCAAGTTTTTCATTTAAACATCTTCAACATTCTTGGAAACTTGTTCAATTATATCTCTGGTATATTGTCAAAATTAAAGATAAAGCTGTCTGGTCTATCGTCACTAATGTTTATAAACCCTGTCCCATCTGTAATTGACTTACAGAACGTAGACAGGCCAGGGCCTCCCCTGTGGTGCAGCGGTTGAGCACTGGGCTGCGAAGCTGCCCGCAGCCTCTGCAGCACCAGTTTGATCCCCGGCCACCAGGCAAGGGTCCCATATGGTGCGCAGACCTCTCCTGCAGTACCTGCTGCTCCCCTCAGCAGTGTACTTTGTTAGTCTGCCTGTTCTGCTCCCTGCTCTGGCTCTGGGAATTCTCTCACCCTCCCATGCTTCTGACTGTACCCAGTGCTTGTATAAATAAATAAATCTAAAAAAAAAAAACAAAAACAAACTGAAGACAGTCCAACTCAGGCCCATATTTTAAATGACAATATAATTTTTTTAGGCAGTAATATCCAAAACCTGAAAACAAGAGCTTACACAGCTTTAACAAATGCATCATTTCCTCCATGCCTTTAGTTCTAATTAGAAAATTTAAAGAAAGATAGCCTTCATTTCCAGATGATTTTGTGCAATATAACCAAACATAAATAAAGATTTATACCATGTTGAAACTGCCTTTTACATTAGAAAACAACGGAAACATGTATTTCTTGTTTTGCAGCCTCTTTTATAGAGCAATTGGCTTTGTTGCTTTGATACCTTAAACCACCTCCTGACCTAAGACTTCCTGGGTATCAAATAAGATGTTTGTTTGTTTGCTTGCTTGCTTGCTTGCTTATGTCTACAGTCTAAGAAATCCTGCCAGGTTCAGATTCAGCAAGAGCAAGCCTGGGGTCACAAATTACTATTGAGTAAAAGAGTCTCAAATGTCGCAGAACCTACCTCTAAGCTGTTGTTCCTGAGAAAATGTCGCAGTAGAAAGCAACAAATATTGTTCTACCACCATGGAACCAACACATTGGCATTTTCTTTGAACACGCCCACTCTCATTCCCATCAGAGAGACGTTCTCTTACCTTCCATGCACCTTTATGTCTGAAATTGCGTAAAAGTAGCGTGCCAAGTGTAGCTCATCTACAAATATTTCCCCGACGGCTGGTCTCAAAAGCCTTATCCTCAGGTCTGTGACTGTAAAGAAATCTCTGAGTTTCTTGGTTGTATCCAGCTGGCCATAGAGGGAAGCCATATTGCGTAGCCAAGGTCCAGCAAAAAACGCGAACCTGTCTTTGATTTCAAAGTGGATTATTTTGCTATTTGTCATGTACCCTGTGGAGTACTCTTCGGTGCAAATGATTTCTAAAACCGTGTGCTGTGATAAATCCTTCACGGATTTAGGGTCCATGTGAAAAGCATCTAAGCAATCTGTGGCATAATACTGATAGGGCTGCCATGTTCGTCCATAATCAAGAGATTTCTCCAGGATCATTTGGTCTGGACGCCCCGATTCAAAGGTAATAACTATGTTGTCTGTGAGCTCAATGGTTTTACTCCAAGACAGAGTGATGTTAACTTGGAGAGGCTTGGGATATTCCTTCCACGTAGCAGACTGCCAAAATGTAGAGGGATGTCTTCCTTCAAAATCAAACATCAGCTCAGGGGGATGTGCCAACTCAGGGGTACTGGCATCACACTCATTATTGCACATGTAGGGGTTGCCCTATGAAAGAAGAACAAAACAGGGTGCATCAAAATACTGGTTTGACAAGTCTTGCCATGTTGCTGTTCTAAGAGACTAGGAAAGAAAGAAAAACAACCCAACCTGTTTGCAGTAAGCATTTTTATTTGTCCTAACTGGCTTGTCTCTAATAGCTTTTTTTGAGGAAAAAAAAAAGCAATATGGTAATTTCCTTGTCTTCTTTCCTTCTATGGGCTTTAAGAAATGAAAACAATTTATTGATCTCATATGTATTGGACCCATACTGTGGTCTCACAAGAACAAAGAGACTGAGCAATTGGCTAACAGTTCAGTAACTCTCCATCCTTTTGGAAAGATGCTACAGCAAGGCAAGGAAATTTCTCCCAGCCTCAAGGACATTTCTCAAGAGCACAGTTTTTTAAAAAGTCATTTTCAAGCAAGTCTTTAGAATTAGCATGAACCATAGACACTTGGGTCCTGTTGGGAAACAATACCCCCATACAATATTTACCTTGTCTCATATCCATCATACTTAGCTGGTTCTCTGCTTCATAAAGTCTGCTTTTGAAGCATTTACCTTGTTCACCACAAATCATTAAAATATGGTACACTCTAGGCTCTGGGGCTTGGTCCAAACATCTGCCATCCTATTAGCTAGAGACAAAGGGATTGCTCAGGAAAGATATGGGGTGGGGGTGTGTTCCAGGTTATCAGGTATGGAAAAATCCAGTATTTAATTAGAGGGGTGTTGCAATGGTGACAGCCACATGATGCATGGCTCCGTGCAGGTCCCTAGTCAGCTCTCCGTGGCTGTCAGCTGTTATTATTATTGTCCCTCTTAAAAGGCTACTTCCTTCATAGGCCACTTAAGCAAGAAGCTGGTAATCAGTCTCCTTGTCATATGACCATTTATAGCAACTTATAGTCTGTACTAAATGTCTCATCTCAGCTTACATCACAGAGTCTATGCCAAACAACCGGCTCCCAGATTTTTGTTTCTTTCATTTTTTTTTTTTTTTTTAGAAAATAAATTACATCATTTTGAGGCAACTATTCAGGTATTTCTCTCTTATCCCACACTGGATAATTCTAAGCATGAACGGGTGAAAGAATCAGCCCTCCGACATTGTCCTTAGGCTTACTCTTGTCATGACAATTAGCCTTTTTTTTTTCTTTTTCATGAACCAGAGCTTTTCATAATACCTGCAGGAGGCATGAGCTGGATCTCAAATAATGAATTTACACTCTAGACATCGCTGACTCCTGTGAAATGTAAGATGAACATTGGAGAATTGCTTTGGCTTCCCTAGAGGCAACCTTCCCCTACCTAGTCAGCTAATACTTTCACTCTCTCCTTCCCATTAGTGCAACTGAATCCTAAAGCTGGCAACAGGTTTGGGGGACTTACGTATAATTGAGCTGGGGCAGGAGAAAGGAGAGAAGGTGCATTATTTGAGGAACAGAACTGTTTTAAAAATACATTCAAGGCATCAGTGATAATGGAAATGTTTCTGTAGTTCTCTCTCGAATTTCAATTCTCTATTCCTGATGCCAGCGTCTGTGGCACTATTTATAGCATCCCCTTCAAAATGAGCCAAGGGGGGGAAATAAGTTTCTGTTCCAGGTGGAATAAATCACCAAATTTATTATTATTTAAACTCTCTTAAGCATACCAGAGAGCCAAATGCAGAGCTCTGCAAACTGGCAAGGGCTGTTTATGGAGGGCTATAAATATTGTGGAATCTGTCAGGATTGATAAATTCCAAATATATGTAAATGCCCATTTTACTGGAAGGGATCAGATTTACACAAATCACACCTTCATTTAGAATTTATTGAAAAAATATGGTCACTTGAACATCTATCAGCATGTATCCATCTGCACCATCATAAACTTGGATGCTGCCATGCCCCTCCTGGCAAAAGTGTCTCATCAGAGGTCAAGGGTATCACAACACAGGGAATCATCTCTACGTAATATACCAAAGTGAGTTATCAGACATTTATGTTAAGACGTGTTGAAAGATAGCATATCTTCGACTTCAGTGTAGATGCAAAGATTTTCAGATGGGAAGTGGTTCTGGGATGAAGTACAAAGTACAGCAGTTTGAGTCCCAATAGAGAGCAATACTTGCAAACCTGTTTTAGAAACTATGGCTGAAGGGATGGATCTGTCTAAAAGTCATTCATTCCCACATTCAATAAAAGGTGTTGTCTATCGCCATTATTTATTTAGCACTTGTATTTCACACACTTTACATATATTAATCTCGGTAATCCTTTTCACCCCTACTTTATGGCAGAGGAAATTGAGGCATAGAGGAGTGTGTTAAGTAACTTTTCCAAAGTCACATGACAAGTGTGTAAAGGGGCAGAGCTAGGAAGCACTTTTTGCCCCAGTCCTGGCTTTTTCAGCTCCCAAGTGAATGGCATTTCCTATGACAATAGAGTCTTAGAAATAGTGTTGGCTGGTAGAAAAGAAGGACCTAAGAAAAGTAAGTTTGGGGAAGACCTTCTTATCTTGAAGAGTCCTCACCAGTGGACTCATACATCTGAAATGTCTTGAACTTAAGAACTTTCCCAGCTTCATGTAATACCTCATTTAAGAAAATTATATGCCCATGGAAACTCTTTTTGTTTTAGTAACCCCTACTTATGTGGCATGTAATAATGTCCTAGAGGGCAAATATCCTAGAGATTCTTGCTGTGTATTCCTCTTAGAACTGCAAACACATGGATGCCAGGCAGCAGTGCACAGTGCAAAGATTAGTCCTTTAATGAATACATGACCCCATAAAGCTCTCAGTCTCCATTTTTGATCCACAGGGATGTACTCCCACTGGGACTCAGCAGGACAGCAGGCTTAGGATAAATGTTTTCATTTACATCAAGTTGTCAGCTCTCAAAATATATACCAGGGCAAGGAGAAAATTTCCTTGCTCTGCACTGATCTGGTGCTTTAAGCACACGAAAAATGAAAGAAAAAGCTTCATGCACCCAATAATGATTTATTGATTGCCTACTATATTACTATATTTAAGGCACTGTCTTGGCTCTGAGGATACAGCAGTAAACAAATCCAAGTCCTCGCTTTCAGTGGCGCTTCACCTTAGTGGGGGAGATGCACCAAACAAATACATGTTTTATAACATTAGATGATGATAACTGCTATGGAGAAAAATAAATCCAATTACAGAGGAGAATGGTGTTAGAAGAGGGATACTGATTGTAATTTTATATTGGGAGGTCAGAGAAAGTCTCTCCTCGATTATGTGACATTTGAGCAGATTAAGAACAATTCCCAATTTACCCTGGAGATGGTCAGAGGTTGACCAGAATGACAGTTTTGTCCTTCATCTGACTCTACTCTTAGTGATAATTTCAGTAGCATAACAATTTATTAAAATTGATGAGTAAACAAATCATTTCAAGTGAAAGTCTACCCCCAAATGACTATAGATAAAAAAAATCAATTCAACCATTTTCCTGATTTCACAGCACCCTCATGCTCTTTTAGATTAATTAACACAACTTACTGAGAAACAACAACATTGAGAGAAAACTAGCAGGGAAAGAAAAGATTTTATTCTGGAACTTTCAGAAGAAACCCTGTTATTTAGGTGAGAGAAAATGAAAAAAAAAAAAAGGCTGAAGAAGTCTCATATCTTGCCATTTTAGAAAGACAAAGCTGGAGGTGAGGTTATATGCTAAAATAGTGTAAATAATTCACGTGTGTGTGATCTGTAATACTGTTGTTACAGAAAATTATCAATTTGAAAACAATTGCTGTTCAAGGGATTAGATTAATTAAAGTTTCAGCTACTTCAACCCCATCTTAATCCTCTCTAATACCAGCAACAAAGAAATTTATATAAGAAAAATAACTTTCCCTTATTTGTGAAAGCAAAGAATACTTCTTGCTGCTAAATCTAATGGATTCAGGCATTAGCAAGTGTAAGTAATTATCCTGTGGCCAGCAGGCAGCCTTAAATAGATCTTAATTTAAGACCTACAAGCAACATATCCTTAACTGATTGTCTATGGACAAAGCAGAAAATATTTATGACTGCGCTGGTAATATTTACACCATTAAGAGATGTCTAAATAATTAAACAGATATTACTGCTAAATATTTTTATAACAATTAGAAGATTGTGATGCTTAATTCCATTAAAAAATAACATTGATATTTTACCTCTGGGAGAAAGGAAGTTAGTAATTAATTAGCACTTTGTAGTCAAACTGAAATGTTGTTATTCTTCCTAAATATGCTTTCAGAACTTAGAGGGATTAATAAAATTTGAGACACAAATGTTCCTACTGATGAAAGCGCCTTTCTTCTGGCATATGACACTGAAAAGAACTTCCTTTCACCTAATTGCTAGAGCAGTTTTTTTGTTTTTTTTTCAAATCCTATATAAGCAATGCCAAAGTCGTATTGTGGTTCCTATCTTTTGCCCTCACCCTTCCAAGCTTTACCCACTGGCAAACTATTGGGAAAATGACAAACTACTGGAAATGTAGGGAATTCTCATGGGAGGTTTGCTACTGAACTGTAAGCCACACCCCAGGCAGGCATGTACCTACTTGTGGTTCTGAGAAGCATCCGGGTTAACACTTACACCGATGGTGAAGAATAGAGACACAGCAGCCTCACACCCATTTACATCTGCCTCGTCCTTGCTTGTTAGGTTGGAAAGTGACAGAAAAAAAGTGAGAAAGACTCAGGCAAAATGAGCACAAACAGCCTTCTGGGATGGCACTCCCGACTCATTCTTACTGTGATTGTGAAAGACATCACAATGGCTCTGCCAGTGAAGAAACTGGTCAGAGTTTACTGCTCATCTCTAGCAAGAAGAGCCCCAAGCTCTTTCACTGGCAGAAAGGACTACTGTCTGGAAAGATGGCTTCCTTCCCTCCTCCACTGCAGCTCATGCAGAGGCACCAAGCAAGACATTTTCTGAGAGTTGACTGACCTCTTTATTGAGAAGTGTCATTTTTGGTGGGAAGGACCCCCCCCC